CCCCAGGAAGATGTTTGCCTGATATCTAAAATTTTACTGTAATATTGAATGTTGGGAACAACTACTTGGCTTTGTCCAGTTTGCTTGCCTATAAGAAATAGGCAGTACGTGGTGAGAAGTGAGTTGAGTGAATAATTCTGCCAGTGGAAAATCTGGGCCAAATCTATGATTTTCTCCTGTTACATGAACCCGAGGGATGTGGCAAGCTTTTTAGCTCTCCAGACTGACCTGCAAGTGTGACCCAAACCCACCAGTTTCGGGTATGTTGTATGTTGTTCTTAATGGTTAGGTTGTTCAATGCCATTGATCAATGGCAACTCACSCACACAAGCTGCCTTTGAGATGGACCAGCAGGCGAGTGCTCTTGGGCATTTCTCATGAAGGTTTCCTGAGTTATTTGAAAAGGCCATCTGAAGAGTCCATCCTCTCTCAGCTCTGGGTATGCCCACGGGAGAAGATCTTGGCGAGGGATACAAGACACCCGGAGTGATACTGATGTATTTCAGATTACCGCTGTCATTCGTATGGTTTCCGTAACCTTCCGTGCTGCTGTCCCCGCAGTTATCTCCTGCGAGGTGTCGCAGTGGAGCGTGTGGAGCGGCTGCGCGGAGCCCTGCAGGACAACGTACCGCGTTCGGAGGCGCCGCGTCCTGCGGGAGCCCCGCAACGGCGGAGAGCCCTGTCCCGCGCTGGAGGAGCGGGCTGGCTGCGTGCACTACTGGAGCCGCCAAGGAGCCGAGTGCAAGCAGGCCCTGAGTGAGTCCGCGGCAAACAAGCTGTCTTGGAAATGGGGAAGGACTCCGGACCTTCACGCAGGGTTGAGAGAGATCCTTCCTGCGAGGGTGTTCAAAAATAGCGCCTGCCATTTGCTGGCGTGTTTGGAAATATCACAGCTCTGTTGCGATATGGCTTTTGTGAGTATGAATCTCTAGTAATTCTGAGAAAGTTGGTGTGCTGGTGCCTGTGTGGAGCTTCTGTAGGTAGGTGTTGAGCACTTTGTTGATGTTATGAGTCATCAGTAAAAAGTCACGAAGGAACCATCTTCGTCCAAGGCAAGGTATGGGCCTGCACTGAAGGAGAGGGTGAGCTGGGGAGACCTCCAGTGTTTTTCCAAAAAAATAAGATCCAACTTGATTTTATTCACTCCAACTTTTCACGACGTGCCTTTATTGATTTTTAGAAGAGCTGCTYCTGATTTATGCTAGTATTTCTGAGTCAAAATCTGTCCGTTCTGGAGATTAGCTATAATTGGCTTTTACAAACCTGTTGAGAATTGGTGCTATGCAAATATTGCCTCCTCCTCTCTTTCGGTTGGATTGTCTGCTCAGGCAAAAAATTGTAAACAATGCAGAATTTATTTTCAGTGAAATGGTAGGTGCTGATAATATGGAATTTCAAGGTTAGAATTGTTTTCGATTTCCTGCTGAAGATAAAAAGCACATGACGTTAAAGGCCAGTCTTTACTGTTGTGCTGACTTAAGCAGCCTCGGTGCAATATTGTCACTTACATTGTGTATTCTTTCTCTTTGATATACACAGTCCCAGCATTAATAACAACAGGAGGGTTTGGAAAAGCGAGGAAAARAAGAGCTGCAGCTGATGGCACTGAAAGAGCAGGGTAAGTCGGGGGTCAGCACAAGGGCACAGTCATGTTCCACCTCCACATAGTCTACGACTGCTGCTCAAGCATGAAGGCATCAGCCTTTCTGGTCCTCTTGTTTCCTGGCTGGAGTCGTTGATTGCAGTATCAGTGACCTAAAAGGTTGTCTCTATCCTGTAACCCCTCCTCTTCTACAGCTTTGCAAGCTAGTTAGTGTCTAGGGAAGATTCTTGCCATCCCTATTAGGTTTGTCTGTCTGTTATTGAGAGCTGCCATTCCTGGAGATGCCACATGGCGTTTCTCAGAGCCTCTCCTGCATCCCGAAGCAGCTGCACCCTTGTTGATTTATTTCCCCATGTAATCTTGCACATATAAGTGTATCCGTGGCATGTGGGTGCATCCATCCTCCTCACTTAAGTGTCTGAAGGAAGGAGCAAATCTTCACCTCTGTTGAGCTCCGTATTAGTTGAGCCTTCTTCCTGTACAACCCAAATGTGTAGGCACAGCTCTACTGCACGCACGTTTATTCCTCCTCTCTCCATGAGAAGAGGAGAACAAGGAAGCAAACTACTCACACAGCCCAGTATGCTCCAGAAAGGTGTTTGGAAATCCCCACGGTGACTGATACACAGCCAATCTAGACTGGAATCCAACTCTTTGCTGTGGTTACAGGCAATTACTGTTTTTCCTTGGGTTTCCCCTCTAAACAAGGACATTTTCTCAGGATTTCCTCTCAGGTTTGGCTCAGAGCAGAGCAGGGCAGAAGTGTTGTCTCAAACTGCTTGTCTTCCTGTCAAAACATGGCAACTTCACTGTGTCTCCCAGGAGCGAGAAGAGCAGAAAAACCCTTTACAGTCTAAGTCTTGTCAAAAAAATACTGCATAAACCCATTATTGGGCTGGAATCAGAAGACTCAGTTCCCTTGTTTCTTGGCCTTAGTAAAACACTTGACCTATCTATGTCTCTGGGTCCCCATTTGTGAAAGACATGTCAATAGACCTGACTCCTCCTCGACATGTGCAATTGGAAGTGCCACCAGAGTAGCTTTACACTCCACTGAGCCTTGTCAGGATGCCACCACACCACACATTTTGCTTCATGTGCTCTTCTTTTAATTGATAATCTGTGGTCACCCAGCATAGTCCAGCTCTCCCTGTCCCATGGAGGGCTGAAGGCTGCTTCTGGAGCTAACCCTGTGTGCGCCGTTGGTTGCAGGTACTGTGTTGAATTCCAGCTCGTGGCCATCATGCCGGGCTGCATGCACAGCCACCGCTCGCACACCCGCTGGATGCGGTACCTGCGGGAGGGCCACACGGTGTGCGTGGAGTGTCAGCACCCGGCGCTGGATTCCAGGAGCCTGCATTGCTACGGGGACGGCAGCGGGAGCCAAGAGTAAGGCCTTGGGGTTCTGCCTTCTTTTGCATTGGCTTTGCATGTTCAGGTTTTACATTCCTCCCCCTTGACCTGCTTGGAGAGATTTGTCCCAGTTTCATAATGCCCAGCACTCAGGCAGCACTTTACACCTTTAGAGTACTGCGCATATATTGACTCAGACCTTGGTGCATACCACGAGTTAGGCTGGGAATATTCAAACCACTTCCCTGCAGAGATGAACTGATCTGGTGAAGCTCACGCAGTGAAATGGGCAGAGCCAGGATTGGAGTGTGCAAGTCCCTGCACTTGGTGGGCTAAATCTCACTGTCTTTTTTTTTTTAAGTGGCACAACTGTATGCTTTTAAGACATTCCAGCCCCGTCTGTAAGGTTAATAGGCTTGTCAGATGGCAAATTAAACCAAATCTTTGGGTGATTTTAAGTGCTGTTAGCTTAGCTGGAGTGGCTTCATGTTGGTTTGGACATTGTTTCTGCGAGTGACTCCTTACTGGCTGCTGACTCCGGGACAGTGGTTAGTGCTGGCTCTGAGGTTGGGTGGAAGYACTGATAAATTTTTGGACTTTCAGTATCCTTTCCCCGGAGAGGTCAAGAAGCTTTGGGGTGATTGATGAGGACCACACGGGTTGTACAGATGAGGAGACTCCAGCAAAGATGAAGGGAATGGCTTGTTGCTTCAAGCTGTGAAACATGTCCGTGGCAGAGTCAGCAACAGAGCCGAGTGGTCCTCACTCCAGAGCTTCAGCTGTGGTCACTGGAGGCTCAGCTTTCCCAGTTCTTTTATCCTGATACTCTTGGAATTTAGCTCTGCTTTGAGTCTATCAGGGGCATCCTGCATTGCAGCCTTGCCTGAAAAATCTTTGTTTGTCAGGGCTGGGCAGGCATATTTATGCATTTATATACATGTTAAAATAAATACATTCATTTGAATTAGCAGCTGTATACTAGGTTTATTAGACTTTAAACATGTAATATATTACACTACCAGGACTGTCAGGATTGGCCTTTTTAGGCAGGATTTGTCTCAAGCTTTTAATAAAGTGAAATCATGTTAGGGTCCTTTTCCTTTGCCTCAGCTTGTTATGCATAAAGCTTTCAAACTTTTTTTTTTTTTTTGATAAAGAGGGAGAATTTAAATGGTGTGACCAGGCTAAGCTCTTTCCTGCATTCAATATGTATGTGATTGTAAAAGCTTACAATAATGTTGTTTTCCTAAAACCCTGGAGTCAGACAGGAACATCAGATTAGGGGAAATAAAAATATCTGCAAGAGTTCATTTCCAAACAGGGCTGCAAAAAGAGGGGCTCTGTTTTTAGCCAGCTGGTTATCTGGTGAACAACTCATGGAACAGAAGCACTGGGAAAATGACACTGTGTCTCCTAGGAAGAACAAATCTGATCCATGCTGGTAGYGCTGGGAAGGGGACAGCTAATGGAGCTGGGGTGGACAGGGACTSTGAGACTGTGACCATTGGTTTCAGTAACCCTGGACCCTGCCCACATCTCAGCAGCTGGCTGGACTCCATCCTAGCAGAGCAGAGCCTAGGAGTTGTTCCCAGAGGTTTGTTGTAGGGTGGACCCTATCAGACAAGTTGGCAGGGCTGTATCAGTGCGGACATGTGAAGACCAACGGGGAAACCATCTCTTAGCACAGAGAGCTTCTCCCCTCTGGTGTTACTGCCTGTAATGTTAAGTGAAGTCACATCTATACAGCGTTTTATAGGCAGATATGAGCTGTGTGTGTGTGTGCTCATTTAACTTCATTACTAGATATTAGTCTTGTGTTCTGCATCTCTGTATAACCTTGGTGAATTAAAGAGGCTCTTAACTAGGGCTGAGCACCTGGTGTGATTCACTTGGTATAAATGTCCCAAGTGCCAACTATAATAGGGTATAAAAATTCATATAGGTATTATTCGACAGAGCTGTCCCCTAATTGGTTTCCAGAAATAATAGCCTTTTTTTTTTTTTTTTTTTTTTTTTTTTCCTTTTGTTAGCTTGCAGAGAGGTCAAAACTGCCCTACAGAACCTTGGGGAGGAGAATGCCTCTTGGTGGGCACAGCCATTGAGCAACGTGAGGGAGATGTCTCTGAAAGGGGACGTGTAGACATTTGGCTCCCCTTAAAGCAGGGGGTGGAACCTCGTGCAGGGACTTGCTGGCCCAACACGGAGGCCGTAAATGCAGAAGGAAAGGAGAAGAGAGGAAGGAAAACATCTGACAGAGTTTATTTTGAACTCAGCAATGCTGGTGTATTTTGATGAGTATTTCCTAATTATCTTCTTGTGTCTAAGTAGAGTCTGGTTTATAAATGCTTCAAATTTGAGAGAAGTGCCTGTTATCTGTGCCTTCCACCTGTCTCCCACTCTGCAGGAGTCTGTAGAAGGCACTATTCACTTTAACCATTTGGGGAAACCTCAGGAGCTTGCATTCCTTTCACAAAGTCCTTGATTCATGGCCAGCCCCATGGCCATCAGGTGAGGACAGCTGGGATAGTCCGACTGCTTTGGCTGGCTTCTTCCTTCCAGAAGACTGCAAGACAGACAGGACAGAGCACTGAGCCAGGAAATCATTCTGTTAATTTTGGATCATCTTCTGAAAGATCTGCAAGCAAAGCACAGGGTAACAAACCTGACATCTGTTAGATTGTTCCTGTGTCAAGGAAGATCAGCTGCTCTTCATCATCTGGAGCAAGATGGAGCAGTTATAGCATATAGATGCCCAACGCTGATGGGGGTAGCGGCAGGACAAAGTTAATACTTGCTTTCCCCACCAGCAGGACTGGAGTTGGCCCATTTACCTTAAGCTTAAGGAAGAGTTTCTTTTAAAGGTAAAGCTGCAACCCAGAGTTTTGCAGAGCGTGGGACTGCGCTGTGCAGGCAGCTTGCGTTATCTGGGATCTTAATTCTCCCTGTGCAGATGCTGGTGTTTTGAATGATCCCAAGCCAGAATAAAAATACAGTGAGCTTTTTCCCAACCATGTGTGATGCATAAAACCCTGCTCTGGAGCGTGACTTCTCATTAAACTGAGGGCAGGGTTATCTCTGTGGAGCTACTGCAATAATTCCAATTTCCACAGAACTATAAGGCAAGCGAGGGTTGAGGATATATTGGGCTGTCYTGTGAGCAGCTCTGTGCACAGGGCAAGAGCTCATGAGAATCATGGTGTCTGTGCTTCTCTCGAGGCCGGGGCTGAGACACGCTGGTGTGAGGAATTCCTGTAAACCAAAATGCTGGAATCTGGGAAGGGGCATCCTGTGAGTGTCCTGTTGCTCCTGCTCCAGCTGCATGTGGAGACAAGTTGTATAGGCCCTTGGTTCAAGCCCCAGTCTATGTGCATATGAGGGGGTGAATAGCTGTGCAATGAGAAGGTGCTGCTGTTGCCTGCAGTGCTGCTGTTGCAAACTGCAGCCTCTGTGGCTCTTAGGTCAGCACTTTTGCAGCTGCTGATTGTGAAAAAAGGGCCTATGGATCTTTAGCTTGGCTGTTCTAATAAGATATTTCTCTGTTCAGTTCTGGTCAACACATTCTTGGACTGCCTTGGAAGAAGGGGGTTAGAAATAGTGCTCATATTTTTTATTCTGTCTTTATTTTTATTCTGCTTGCCACCTGACAGACCCATCAGGAGCCTTGTTCCAGCTCGCAAAGATCTAGTATCTCCATCCAGCTGCAATCCAGAAACACGTGGCTCTCAGCAAGGCTGGAAAGTTTGGACAAGTGTTCCACTAACGTGCTCGAGTTGGGCCCTGATGTGTCCCCATGTGCCTCACACAGGCTTGCCTGGTGCTTACTCAGCACCTGGATGTCTATGGATGGCAGTAGAGCTCTACTAGCTGAGGGGAAGCACGATGCCATCAAGGAAAATGGAGAAAGAGGGAGTTTTGCCCATTTTGCAGCCTGTCAAATGCTTCAGTACAATAGTTATGTGGAAGTGGGAGTGTTTTGTGAGTAGATGCATGCAAAGATGGGTACCTTGAGGGAATGTTTCTGTGAATCTTATTTTGGACTTGACATCTGCAGTATGTGCTGCTTCTTCCAGTTCTTCCAGTGCAGTGTTCCTAAGAGGACTGATAGTGGCTTCACTTCATGCTGTTATTATGCTACAGGGTCCCTGCAGTTAGTTCTTCTTCACAGAGGCAGAAAGGCAGAACTGGGACCATTGAGTGAGAATGGATATTAGCAAACTAAATGGGATTTAATGAGTTTCCTAAGGCCTAGTTGTACAAATGACTTGCTGTGCATTAACCTCTCCCTTTTCTGATTGTCTTTCAGGAATGAGCTGCTGCACTGGCAGGCTGTGGGGAACCCTCAGTGCAGGGGAACCTGGAAGAGAATTCGCCAGCTGGACACTTGCTCCTGCCCCTCGGTTCACAGCTTCTTGTTCATCTAAGTTCTCCCGGTGGTCCCAGCAGAAGAGCCGAGTGGTGGCTTGTCTGGTACAAGTGGGCAGCAGCAATAGTGACAACAACCAAATCAGTGACTTCTCAGGTCAAGGGCTGTGCTGTTTGCTTTCAAGAGTTTGCGGTATGCCTGGAGCACCATGGATCCTCCTCAATTTTCAAAGAAATCAGACCAGCTCCAAAGCATCCATGTCTTTCTCTCTCAATCCTTGCTGCCTCTTCTGCCTGGGAGAAGTTTTTCTGATCCTGATGACTTCTCTCAAATTCCTCTTTTCTTGAGAGCAGCAAGAATTCACCAAATAAGAAAGCAGGCAGAAAAGAAAGCCAATATAAACCTATGATTAAATATTTCCCAAAATCTTGCTGAATAATCAACARTGCAAAATGAATTAACTCAAGCACSTCCTTTATGCAGCAATAGCACTTCTTTGTGGCTGCTTCTTGTGTGTATTTATATAGCTTTTCCTTGTGTTTTCACCTTCCCTGGTCTCATCATTTCATATTGGTCCTCAGTCTTACAGATGAGGCTGTCCTGATTAGGYAAAGACCTAAGTTAGAAATGAGTCTGTTCAGATCTGAGAACAGAAGGTACCAGGGATGGGTATGTCCTTGGACTTCAGGTTTCAAGGAACATCTCTGGGTTTCCTCAAAGTGCCTTGCAGTTCTGGGGCTCTAAATACCAAGCACTCTGCCTGCACCAGAAGGGACTAACGAAAGCCTTGTATTTTCCACTGGGAAATATTCGGAATATTTTCTTTGTATTCTGCTGGTTTATATTCACCTTTTTCTATAAATGAAAATAAAAAGACTAGAGATGTTCCCCCAGTGTGTTTCTATGTGATTAATTTGAGTTAATTGAGAGGTTGTAAAACCTCTTTAGCTCCTGAACCTGCCTAATTTGTTCCAGCCAATGTTGCTGTCAGCTCCCCTGCTAGCGCAGACTGGGGGAGACTGGGGAAGACTGCTGCTGCACACCAGAAGCACTCTGAATTTCCTGGAGGTAGTTGAATACTGTACCCTACCCGTATGCAGAAGAGGACGTGCTACTTGTAATACACACCTTGCTTAAAGTAAATTAAAATCTGAAGGCCAGTCACAGAAAGAACTTAAYGCTCTGTCACAGAGTGGTGCTATGGCAAGTATCACCTAAAGGTAATTAAATTTATCACAGTCCAATTAAATGGCTGAGGGTGGGTCCAGAGCAGAGCTCAAATGCCAAGTCAGATGCTAGTCTGGGTCATGAAATCCATATGGAATTTGTGCAGGAACCTTTATGTACTGGGAACCTTTTGTGAAAATCCTAAAGGGCTTGGAGGGTTGGTACTTGAGCTGTGCCATAAAGTGCCAAGAGGCTCGAATGTGCCTGATGCCTTCAGCCAGCACAGTAGAGCTTTTAGAGCATAACTCCACTTTTTATGGCATGTTACAGGCTGTCTCTGGGAATCGGTGACTCACAAGGGGGAGATTTCATCTCAGAGTAGCGAGATAGGAAAAAAAATGACTTGTGCTTTCCTGTCTGACATAATCTGTAACCAGCTTGCCTTTGTGGCTGGCTCAGGAGCGCTCGCTGGTTGGATGTGRTCCTTTGAGGAATGGCTTATGAATAAGTAATCAGCGTGCAGTGGCTTGTTTCTTGTGGTGAGGAATTTTTATCAAGCTGGATAGAAAGAAATTCTTTTTTATTTTTGTGGAGATATGTAATCATAGTAGCTTTTAATCTTGGGAAGGTTTTATTTATCAGGAAAAGTCCTCTCTTGGGCCACAGGASTCCAAAGAGGCTGCCATTAATTTCAAGAGCAGAATGGGCTCCATTGGAAATACTTTTCACTTCAAAAATCAGCCCAAACTTCTGGCAAAATGAATCCCTGCTCTGAACAGCTGCATTCAAAATTGGGTAACAAATGAGTAAAATATGCAATATTTTTTTGCTAATGCTTAATAAACATAGTCTTCCAAAAGTTACATTCACCCTCTTCTATCAGAGCCAGCCAGACAGGTGATGACTGTATAGCAAAGTTATAAATGATAGTGCAAGCTAACAATGACTTCTATTATAATCAATGAAGTGGTGTGGTGTCCTGGAGCAGCTTAATTRCAATTCTTTTCAATTATCAAGTACCTAGGTGTTAGTTGAACTGCATTTATGCATAAAAATCTTGTTAGATTATCATAGTACCTGTTGTCAAGCTTGTAGTGCTCACATAAGTTCATTTTGTTGTAAATATTCTAGGAAATGGTAATTGGCACCTGCTTTGGGTAGGTGGTGTGAAACAGCCTCTCCAGCCCAAAACCCTGTTGAAAAAAGCCTATCATTCTACTTTAGTGTCTCTAGAATAGCTGTGCCTTAGGAGAGGGTCCTTGGGCAGCACTTCATTTTGTCAGGACAGAAACCAGGAAACTCTAGCTCCTGTCAGTATAAATTTGGTGTGTAGAAGGCTTGCAGAATCGGTGTCTTTACTGAGTGAAGCTATGGAGACTTGGAGTTTGAGGAGAGGCTATTTCAGGAATAATGTTCTAGTTCGAATGCTATAAAATTTGAGATTGATTATCTTTTTTTGGAGGTTCACAATAAGTTTGCTAAAAATATATTTTAGGTTGACTGAAACTGCTTGTGAATTCATACCACATTTGATGATTAGTCCTCTTAGATAGAGGCAGAGGAAAGAGGGGGATTTAGAAGCGATGAAATGTTTTTATACTTCCTAACTGAAATATTTTGATCTCTAATTCTGGAATTTTGTGTGAAGATTGAAAGAACCCGAGTCAAACAAAATACTTGATCCAACCTCATCAGAATTTTCAAGTTTCTGTTTCAGACAAATATACTGGGTAAAAAAACAACAACAACAACAAAAACACAGTCAATTTGAATTGATCAAAATGACTTATTTTCCAAAGTCTTCCTGCTTCTCCATCCATATTTATATCGGAGATCAGCTATTTGCCCAGTTAGATTCATGTGTGGTCAAGGCCTGTGACTGAAAGCTGCTGCTACCTGAATGAAGAGAAAGGATAATGTTCTCTTTGGGTTCTGTTTGTGAGATAGCCATGTCATTAAATCAGTATTTCAGTAAGCACAGAAGAGTCTCTCTGTAGCCCAGGACCTGTTGGTTGTGGTTTTCTTTGCTGCTGTCCCAGCCTCTGAGAGCTGCTGGCATGAGGACYRTGCTGGTGCTGGCCTGGTGGGACTYGTAGCCYCTCTTGCTACGTAGCTGGGGCTGCAGGTAGCAGGTGCAGAGATTACCCCAGTAGGGACCTCTGGGCAGTTAGATTTCTACCCAGGATATGTCACTGGGTGAAACTTGATGTTGCAAACGTCCCTGTCCATCAGCATGGTCTGAACAGGGCAATGCAGTGTGCTGGCCTCAGCCTGGCCCTTGGGTATCTGTACAGACAAAGCCGGTCAGTAAATTCCTGGGAGAAGGAAGGGGAGAAGTGCAAGTGTGTGGGTATGAGAGAGAGCAGGAGGGAGTCTCTCAAGAAGATAAGCTGTCACATCACCTTTCCTGCAAATCAAAGCTAGCTGGTGGTGTAGATGAATATTGGGTCCTACCTGTTCCCTCTAGAGACTTTATCACCATCCATCATTGTAATCTTCGGATAGTATCTACAGCCTGGCTTCTGGGGAAGATAAGATAGATTGGAAACCAAAGACAAAATACGCCTGAAAAATGGCTTTGTAGAGTAAACAAGCAAGGCAGCCTCCCATCGAGGAGCGGCTGCTCGCTGGGGATGACAACTGTTCCCATGACAACCCCCAAAACCTTTCACCATTGGGTATCAGCAGGAGAACTCCCACGGCAAGGAGATGCAGCCAGCAGCTTAGTCCTCTTCTCATAAATAACCCTGTTGGGCAGCAGCGATCAGGAGCTGCCCGTTGTGCATATGCAGCTCACTTTGCGGCTGCAAGCCTGGCTTTGAGTGAAAGGAGCAGCAAATGAAACCCTCAAACACCAGTGAGCTGGATTAATGTAAAGGGAATATTAAGCTCTACTGATGTTCCTAGATTTCSTTCTGCATTCCACCTGAGGGATCACAGTTCTTAATGGGGAAAAGCCAGGCAGAAATACAGGCCATTTTGCCGGGCTGAGGAAGCCCTGTGGTTTTCTCAGGAGAAATCTCACTGGCATGGGAGTGAGAGGCAGGAAGGTGCCAGGAGAGTCCTGGTGCTCTTCACCCAATCCTGCTGTGTCTAGCCTGTGATTCAGCTACGTTTTTCCATTTGAAGTGTTTAACAGTTAAAGACCTTTTTTTCTTGTGGTATTTGTAGGGCTACAAACTCCCCGAGTGTTAATATATGTGGTGCCCAGCTTTTACAGCCTTCTAATTGTATAAGGATCTTCTTTTTTAGGGAATAAACCTTTGTACATTTGGAAAAAAAAAGAGCTAGAAAATGTGTCCAGGAAGCTCAGAAGCCAAAGGTAAAAACAAGCAAACAAAATAGCTTATTTATTTATTTAAGATTTTCCAAAGTGACCAGAAGAGCTAGGCATGTTCTGCTTGAATGGTAGGAGTTAGCAATGCTTCTCCATGACACTTTTCAAACCAATTTTTTTTCTCATCCTTCATTTTGAGTATTGAAATACTAACATCCCTGTTTCCTCCTTTATTTTCCTTTTTTTTTTCTTTTCTTTTTGAAGGGACAAGTTTTTCTGAAGTCCTTCCAAGATTCCTCCGACCTCTGTCATAACATTAGTTGCTTGGTGATCGTCATGAAATGGAGGAGGAGAAGTGAGAAATGGGAAGAGATTCTGAACCTGTAGAGCTTGCTCTGTTCTGTAAATAGGTSTCTTGCAGTTTAAACTGAGGACTTTAGGTTGCATTAGCAGTCTAGTTTTAAAAATGCACCCATTGCTAAGCTGGGTGAAATACATTCACTGCAGGTAGTCCCCATTGCTGGAAGTCTACCAGGCTCTGCCGGGTCTGCAGGCTGGTGGCYCATGATGCCAACAGCTGCTTTGTCCTGTCACGTGTGTGCACAACTCGCTGTGACATTAATGGGACCACGTTCAGGACAGGATGTGCTTGGCTGCATCTTAGAAACACATTAAATGAGTATTGGAAAGGGAATAGGCTGGAACCATAGTGCTCTTTGTCCCCAAGGCAATATTTGCAATATTGTCCYGTTTCCATGGTATTTGACCCCAGACTCCCCTGAAGTGATGAGTTCAACATCTCAGTGCACATTGCAAATAGGACACAACATTTTTGGTCTTCGTTCCCTAATCCTCAGGT